ATTATTCCAGAGTGTAAATCATGGGGTTGGAAACCTTTAAGATACAGGAACAACAAAGCCAAGGGAATGAAATGAAATATTTGTATTATTAAAAGACAGGTGTTACTCGCTGTGTGTGTGTTTGTGTGTGTGTGAGAAAGAATGAGTAACAAGGCCAGTCGCTGCAGTCTGTCTCAGAGCGTTTAATCATCAGGAGCAGTCAGATTCACCACCAAAATAAAATCCTGGCTATTTCTCTTTATCAGCTCTGTGCTAGCATTCTGTACATTTCATTCACCAGCATCACCTTCTTCTTCTCCTTTTTTAATACTTTATGAATCTGTTTGATCATTCGCGCTTTACTTTCACTCACTCATTAACACCGACAGAGTGCAGTCTGGTTACATTTGGCTTGGCTGTTAATTCACTCATTCATTTATTCACTCATTCATCAGATTACTATTTATATTTATACGAAGCATCGCCATTACCATTCATCAGATTATGTAAAGAGCATACACAGATTTATCTCTTTGAACACGCCGGACCAGATCAGAGCCAGGCTTCAGCGTCTTTGAGCTGCAGCGCAAACTAACCCGCAGCGCTGCAAAGTGATGAGGACAGAATGACAACGGGCAGACGTGGAGCGCGGCTCTGGTCCGGACGGGTCTCTGATCTCATGTAAAACTCTGACTGAAAGAAGTCTCGACCATCGGTTACCAAACTTCCCCTCGGACCCCGAAAACAAGCAGCTGTTATTAAAAAAACAGAAAAGAAAAAAAAAAAGCTCCCAAAAGAAACCAGATTTGTTAAAACATCAACGGTCTGGACTCATGAACCAATCAGAGAGCTTTAGCTCCAACACTGACACACTGAGGAGCCAATGGGATCCAAGCAGGGTAATTATAACAATAACAATAATTATAATGACTGTATTGCTCATTGTATAAAAAGTTGCGTAGTTTAACAATCATTTCTTTCATTATTTCTTTCTGAGGGTAAACATTAAAATCCCAATACTGTCATCAACAAACTGAAATAAAAATCTAATATGGCAACCCCTATTCTCTTAATACTAGTCTGTTGCTATGCCAACAAACAGAGGGGAAGGCGGGGCGAGGCCGGAGGTCTCTGCGTTCGTTTCTGTAATGTCCTCTGACGATGCTAACTTGGTAAAATGACACGAGGAGAACGATGCTTTCAGGAGGTAATTATTGAGATAACGACGTTTTAGCGGAACAACCGTGGCTCGTGTGTGATGCCCAGGAAAAAACACGGCGGGCTGTGGGAAATAAAGCCACAGGAAGGCAGCTTCGGCTGCTCCTGTGCATTGGAGCAGACGATTTGCTTTTTAATGCTCGGTGAAAATGTGGCAAGTCTGCGGAGCCCCTGAAGCCACTGAAGAGACAAAATCTTGTCCGCACAAGTTTTCACGTGTGTGATTTCAATGTGATCAAACCAAAACCTGATTATCAGAGTTGTGTGAGTGAAGCTGCACACTCGAGACACGCAACTGAATTTATAGCAAACGATCCACACGCGATAAATAACTCATAAGTTTAAATTGCGCGCACAAGATTCTCCCATACAGATGACATTTATTGTTGTTGGTATATTTCAATAAAAACAGTTTGCTGAGGTTACTCCTCGTAGGCTTTCAAACAGTTAAGAGCTGAAGTGCAAAGTAACTCATTGTGAAAGATAAATATTGTGTTCACAAAAGATTCAAATATCCCACAAGCACGAGGTAAAGTATTTAAACGCTGTGAGACTCCAGGAGCTCCGTACACTTCACTTTCCCTTCCTTAACTCTGATTTATTTTTGTAATGATGGTGCAGTCGGGAAAACGGGAAGCAAAACTTTAAAATCAGCTGTTTTTCACATAAAGTATGGTTGACATTAAGCTAACAGACTTTGGTGCAATGCAGTGGGACAAATATGCTTCTATAAATTTAAAATAATGCTAATTTGTGACATTAAACATCAGCTAAACGACTGTTGGAGGAATATTTGTAGTTTTCTGACTGAGAAAATGAGATGATATCTGTAAATATGAGGCCACTCGAAACGATCACACCAGATTTTGGAGGTTTAATCTGGAGTTTCACTCACGAGGTTACGAGATTATTTTAACGCGGAGGCTGAATTTCAAACTGCTCTTTTAACTGGAATGACTGAAAGATACAAGCCTTTTTTTTTTAGCTAAAAGCCCCGCCCCTCTGTGTGTCATATCAGTTTTCCTCATTTTCCTCATATATATGACATCCCATCATCATCGTAGCAACAGACAAAACAGTAAACATGTAAACAAAAACAACGGAACAAACATTTAAAGTTAATACATATTCATATGTTAAACTACAACGGATAAAAACGTGTGTCTGTGTGTGTGTGTGTGTCTGTGTGTGTGTGTGTGTCTGTGTGTGTTAGCTAAGCAGCACGGCTTTTTTTTTTTTTAAATTCCAGCTGCTCGCTTCCTTTTATGCCTCCTTCCCTACACAAAGTGAAAGGAGGGCAAACTAGCAGAAGGAAGCAGCAGCGAGGATTGAAACTTGGCCTGTAACTGCTGCTGGGACGCATCTCAATACTGCCTCGCTTCCTCTCCTCTCCCGTCTCCTTTAGAGCAGGGGAAGGGAAGGAAGGAGACGAGGAAACAGGAAGCTGGAAGGCGTCTTTGGCGTTGAGGAGAGAAGAGTTAAAGACTCTGACATTGAGACTTGTCCTCCAGCAGATAGTGGGTCTTTCTGTGAAGCTGTGGGAGGGGGAGGGGTTAGTGAGGGAGGTGGAGACAGCGTTTCTGACTGACAGGCTTTGGAACCAATGGGAGCGAAGTTAAAAAATAATTTAGAAAGAGGAATGAGGAGGGAGGATGAGCTGAGCGACTGATTCTAATGAGAGTCTCCCATAAAGCCACAAAACGACCCACTATCCACTTTACCACGCTAGCACGGTGTGTGTGTGTGTGTGTGTGTTTACAGTCACTGTGATCCAGTCAAAAACATGTTCATCAGTCCAGTCTTGGATAAAAGGAGATCAATAGTCTCCTCCTTTCTCCCTTCCCTCCTTATCTAAGCATCTCGGAACGGATAAAACAGGAAGAGAAGAAGAAGAAGAAGAAGAAGAAGAAGAGGAAGAAGAGTTTAAGAGGAGGAGAGGAGTCCTGACTACTGATCTCCCTCCTGCTGAACAGTGCTGTGTGCAGCCAGAGCCTCAGATAAACAGAGTTTGGCCAAGTCCAGTCAGAGATCTCGCCAGCAGAGGGCGCTTTAACGTTACAGTCTGTTTGTCTGTCTGTCTGTCTCTCTCTCTCTCTCTCTCTGGCTTCTACTGGTGGAGAGTCGCCATTTCCGGGTCATGTGACCTCTTGCTGCTGTCCCATTGGTTGAGTGGCCTAGTGGGCGTGGCCTAGTGGGTCTCTTTGAGGGCTTTGAGGAGAGGGGGGTTCTGGGTAATGATATGATCCTAGAGAGAGGACGACAACAACAAACATCAACAAAAACAACTAAACAAAACAACAACAAGAACAACAGCAACAACAACCAGTCGGGCCGCTAGGTGGGTGGAGCGTGCAGCAAGGCGGAGAGTGTGGAGGCGTGGTCTAACCCAGCATAGAAACAGAGGAGCTACAGCGGGCAGCGAGGCGAGTCGGCAGGAGGTCGTTTGGTTTGTGTAACGTTTTAAAGACCAGCCATAATCCCCACTACTGCAATCATTTAGAAATACTGTCATCACTGTATTTATTATTGTTCGTTTTTATTTTCAAATAGAAGAAAGAACCAGAAAATTCACAGATTTCTATTAAAAACTGGACACAGACTCTTGGTTTGTGTTATATGTGGACCTGTCACACTTACATGTGCAGTAAACAGTAACCAGCAGCTTAACGGATGAACCTTTTCTCTCTATAAAATTCACATTTACAGAGATCAGAGTTTAAAAAATGTAATTATTTTATTTTCGCTCTTCAACACCGACCACAGGAATCGGTGACGGTTTTTACTGTTTTCATTTGAAGCCACAGTAAATTTAATTTTGGATTTCTAAACATGAAATTCTGAATTTTGAGTGCTGAGGTTGTGTTACGGTTCGAAGCTGTAACTGATCCAAATACTCAGTCAGGAAAACAGGATTTTATAAACTTGTTATTATTAACTTCTAGTTCATATGTAGATGTATGCAGCTCATCCAAAAAGTCCAGTCGTTGTGTTGCCCCATGTGGCTTCACTGTAGGTGGCAGTAAGTTGTGGATAAGTTGTGGCTCAAACAAGCACAAAAAACCTGATTTAGCCGACCTTCGTTAGTGAAGGCTCTTTAAGTTTTTGACTTAGACCAGTTAGATTTTTTTCTCTAGCTTAAATATCTCACCCTCCCCACACACAGATGTGTTTTTCCCCTAAAAGAAACACCCGGGGTGGGTGGCTGGGAACAAGATTTACATTAAACTCAGATTTTAAAAATCAATCCAACAGTAAGAAATATTCTTCTCCTGCTCTTGTTGTCATTTGATATGTGCAACACACATGTGCACAGGTATATGATACATGTGTTGGTTGTTTGTAGACGATGAAAGTGAAACGACTGTGAAACAGACTGTTATGAATCTTATAATAATAAAAACTTAATGGATCAACAAGGAAAACAGATAAAAATCACTTTAATTGTTGACGTATCGCGGTTCGCTTTGACCATCATCGATCCCTGGCACCATTATGCATACTGGGATAGAGCGGGGCTAAAATTTGATGAGTATTTGATGGTTTTTATATTGTTTTGGTTTTTTACCATTACCAAAGTGACTTTTCGTTACTTTACATCAGCTCTGCTCTACTCAAGTTCAACAGGTTCAGTCTGCTCAGTTGGCTCGATCCAAGGATCAATATTAAGGAGAAATGCTGGTTTTTGTTTCGTTTTTTTATCTATGTGGTTTGACCTAAACTTCGGTCCACCACTAGTCCACGAGCCTCACTTTGAGAACCCTGCCTGTACACAGACACAGTCTGTTTACCGCCAACATCTCTCTGCTCCGCTCTAGAAACTCTACGTCTATGGTGGATCATGCTGAAGGGACACATGCAGGGAAGAGGGGACACTTGCACACTAATACATGCAAATACACACACACACGCATGCATGCACATACGAACACACACACACACACACCACCCAGAGGTGGTGTATGACTGGGAGGTTATCAAAGAGGCCCAAAGGAGTGTCAAGGTGAAAGGTGAGAGGTCAAATCAGCCCGGGGAGGTCAATCACAGACTGAGAGAGGGACAGCATCTCCACACCTGGCTCTGGGCTGTGTGTGTGTGCAGAGAGTGTGTGTGTGGGAGAGTTCGTTTTAGTGTGTTACACTACTTTGTATTCACATTGGGAGTCGGTTAGTACGTCTGTATATGTTCCACGCAGGAAGTGTGTGTGTGTGTGTGTTTGTGGTACTCACACTGCGTGCTTGGGTCAGTATCTGTGGTGAGTTTGACGTAGTTGCTAGGAAACAGACCCTCTCTCCCATTGAGCTCTCCTTTCCACCAATCACAGTCGTCTTTGTTGAGCACTGTGATCACCTGACCCTTCTGGAAGGCCAGCTCGTCGTCGTTCTGCGCCACGTAGTCGTACATGCCGATCACCTGACACAGAGCTTCAGGACCAGAGACGGGGAACAGGGACAGATTATTAGTGTCCGGGTCTTTCTGGATTCTTCACGTTCTGACACTCAATAATTATTAACGGCATCAAGTCTGCTGAACTGTGTCTCTTTAAGTCCATTTGGTTGCACACAAAAGCTGCAAGATTGGCTGCATCCAAAATACAAACTACCCGACAATACCAATTATTTTACTCTACCTTTGGTCAAAAACAAAAACTCTGGTATATTAAACTTCAAACTAGGCACAAATACCATGAACGCTTCAGGAAACTGAGGTCTGGGGTCCCATAGACTTGTATACAAGCTGAATCCTTTTACAGCCACAGGAGTTGCCCCCTGCTGGCCAGTAGAGAGAATGCAAAGCCTTTTTAAAAAAGGTGCACCTCTTCTTCTTCAGCACGTTTCACAATGGACTGAAGGGCCTCTGTAGGTGTTGTGGTAAAGTGTGTGGATTTTTCTGTGTGTTCTTTGTGTGTGGATGTACCTGTGCTGGCAGGGGCCAGTTTAGGAGGTGTGGGCTCTGTGGGCGTCGTCTTGCTGGTGCTGGGACTCAGCAACTTCACATAATTGGCTGGAAACCAACCAATCTGGCGCTTTTTCCCTCGAGCCTGGACCAATAAAATCAAAGGATGCCATCAGTCACAAACCAATATGTAAAACACATTATGTACTTATTGACAAAATACAGCAGGTAATTCCTTTAGCTTTGTTCTGTAAATAAAATGATACAGATAAAAAAAATCCTCAGTTATCTGGTGAATATTTGTGTCTCATTTAATCCATGTCAGCGTTTCCCATCATACCTATCCTTCTCTACCTCATTACACTGTGTCAGGCAGAGATTAAGTGACGGTTGTGTCTTGTGTACCTGGAGCTCGCCCTCCCACCAGCCCCCTGGGTTCTTCTTCCTGATGAGGATGAGCTGTCCTGGGGCTAAAGTCAGCTGCTCTGCTCCTGTAGCATTGTAGGGGGCGATCACCTGAGCGATCTCTGAACAGGAACAGGAAGAAGATGATGAGGGTTTTTATTTTTTTCTTCTTTTAGTCTCTGACACCTGGTCTATGTGAGTTTTATTTTGAAGGTTTAAATCAGACAAGTTCTCTTCCACATGGCTTTAACTTCAACTGGCACAACAAGGACAACGAAGAGTGAATTGAGATATTTACTGGTCAGTTTGACACTTTTATTAAGGAAACTCAGTTTGGTATTCTGAGGAAAACAGGAAAAGTGCATTTTGGTAACATTACAGGCCTACCTGGTTTCTTCCCAAGGCTTCCCGTCTTCCCTGCTGTTCCCAGTGACTGTGGGCAAAGATTCAGAGTCACAGTGATTAGAAATATTTACCTGAAGATCTTCTATTCTTCCCCGAATTTGTTCAAAATGAGCTTCACCTCTGATGTGGAGTCCCGTGGTTTGACGTAGTTGGATGGAAAGACTCCAGTCTTTCCTCCGACCATCCCCGTCCACCAATCGCCTTCTTTCCTCGTCACCACGACGATGTCCCCTTGCTGGAAACTCAGGTCCCCCTGTTCATTGCTCTCGTAGGTGTACATGGCCACGTATTCTGTATGAAAGCATGCAGACAGAGTGAGCGACGAGAAGCTCGCTGACGTTTCAGCAAACTCGCCCACATTTGCGTTCGTTACCTTCACCCGACTCTGAAGGCTTTGTTGGGGAGGGGGAGGGGCGTTTTCCATTGGGCGGGCTTTCCGATGCTCCTGTTTCACTGGGAGAGACAAAGAGATAAGAAAAAAAATCATTAAATACATGAAATAATTCTTCTTTTTTTTATGTGAGCAAAGTCAGCAGGTCCCCTTGTACTTTGGGTGTCTTGCCCACTTTAAGCGCCCAGTGTCACAACATAACAGCTTGTTTAAACTGTGCTTTGTGTCAGGAAAAACCTCGAAGCTTTTTGACGTACTTAGTGTTTTTGCTGCGTGCTGCTGTTGCTGGAACACCAGGGGGAGCCGTCATGGTGGCGGAGATGAGCTTCACGTAACTTTTGGGGAACCAGCCTCTTTGTCCGGTCTGCAGTTCACCCAACCACCACATGTCCTGCTGCTCCAACACTGTTATTATCTGCATCAAATAAAAAGTTCAGTTATTACAATTAAAACGCAACAAAAAGAGAAAGAAATTAGTAATCAGGAGATCTCTACCTCGTTTTTGTTGAAGTTTAGGTGGTTCTCCTTCTTGGCTCTCCAGGGATACAAGGCCTGAGCCTGAAGACCCTCGACCTTCTCTCCCTGAGAGACACAGACAATCACAGCCGTTACTCTCAGCAGAAAGAGATGCAAAACCAGAGAAATGTTGTTTCTGTCGTTACCTGTCCCAGTACGGGAGACGGAGAGGAACCCGTCGTCATGGTGGCGGGAGTGAAGGCAGAGCGTTGCCGCAGCTGTGCCGAGGGAACGCTCAGAGATGGATTTTGACTGGCCGAAGAGGTGGGCCACGCGTCCCAGCCCTCGCTGTCTGATTGGCTGGTTGTGTTTGAGGGCCAGCTGGAAATATTGCAAGCATGCATATTAATGTGATGTGACTGACGTGTCTGTGGGTCAGTAACGGACAAACAAATCGTCAAATGTCAGCGAATCGGACTTTAATGGCACTTACGTTGTGCTGAAGTCCGCCCAGTTGCTGTTAGAAGAGGACGTGGTGGAGGAGGCGGTGTGTCCTGGGGCGGGAGGGGGCGTAGTCATCGGCTGCTGGGTTGAGGAGGTTGTGGCTGAGACTGTGGAGCGCAGCGTGATTGGCGCTTCACTGTCAGGTATACGCTCTGCATAATTGGCAGGAAACCAACCGGTCCGTCCTCTGAGCTCACCCCCCAGCCAACCGGGCTCACCTGTTTGCGACTCATCGACCTATCAGAGCACAGGGACAGGATTAGGACAGCTCTCATGGCACGCAAGGGATAGAGATGCACGTGTCATGTTCATGGTGGGAGTGGCGCAAACAATAACAACGGTGGAAACGGCAGCAGCTGATCAGATCCTGATTAGTGGACAAATGATGCAAAAAACAAGACGAGGCGCAAAAAGTCCCACGACTCTGCCCGAAAACAACACCTGATTTAAATTTGGCTCCTAAGCATCCTTGTGCAGCTCTGACATTAGGATATCCTCAAACAGAGCAGTGCACCATGGGCAGGCATGTATTTTAACATACAGACAGACAGAACAGGTTTACTGCTACGGTGGCCTTGAGGTGGCTTTTTAACAGGTAAACCATAGCTGAAAACCACAATTAACTACATCTGTAAATCTTAGGATATTTGCCATAAATATAAGAAAAAAACCACAGAGCCATTAACAAAGTATTCCTGTATTAAATACAGATGAAAAATTGAATCCATGCAGGTTTTAGCAGCTAAACTAAATCTTTTTTGACTTCTTGGCCACACCAGCACAGTCTTTGCTCACTCACAGTCCTACGTCTCAGATTCGGCTCCCTCTACCAGAATGTATTAAATTTGCTGCTGTACTGAAACACGTGAGGATGCAGTTGGTAGAAACAAGCTCCTAGTGACCAATCTAAAGGTAGGAGGAGTGCTAGAAGCTTTACAGAGATGCACAAGGAGACAATGTCAAATTGGGCAAAAATAAAACAAGTATGAGTTTTTTTTTAATGCACTTTATAAATTTGAAACCTCCATTTTAAACAGTAACCCCCCTGTTCCTCATGGTCCCAACCCCAATCTGTCAGAAACGACACTGCAATACGTAACATCTCACTGAAATGTGGCTACAAGCTAAAAAGTATATTTCCTCTGTTTTCCCTCCTTAAAATGGTGACAGGGAAGTGGGACGGAATAATGTGATATGTTTACATGAAAAATGGAAAACTGCAAGCTGGGATATTTTATTTGTTTAGTTTAATTATGTGGGAATTAAAATAGCCTCTGTGCTGTAGTCACCAGTCTTTGGCTGATAGTTAAGCACACTCACAGGTTTCCACACTAACTAAAAATAGCACGACATTACAGATCTGACTGCAATAACAAACAAAAACCACAAACATTCATCCACTGAAAATGAATGAACATGGAGGCGACATGAGATGAAAGCGTTTCTGGCTTGTGATTGGTGGAGGCACATCACTGGGCGGGTGGGGGGGGGCAAGAACTTACCCATTCCCCCTTCACCTTCAGTTTGCACAGCAGAGGAGAGAGGAAAACGTTAATACACACACCGCACAGCCACACACACACCCTTCAGAGAGAATAAACACAAACAAATACAACACAGGCAATAAGACACGTGTGTGGAAGTCCTTTACGTGACCATCACTGACTGTAGTGAGCTTAGCTGAATTCATCTGAGAGAGCAGCTTTTTCTGCAAACTACATACCATAATAACATCTCCGGGAGTGATACTGATCTCATCATGGCTACGAGCGTCGAACGGATACAGAGCCCTGTAGTACACCACCTTCACCGGCTGCTGCTGCTGCTGGTCGAAGGCGCTGGCTGAAGCCTTCTGGTCAAATAAACTGGGACCGGGAGCTTTTTCCACTGTGACTAAGCAGAAAAATAAAACTATTAGTAAGAGAGAATAGATCACTGCTGAGCAAATGAAAAGGCTTTATAGTGAAGCACTTCCTGCTAGACAGGAATTAGGTCTTTAGCACTAAATTCAGAGTTCAGTGTGTTTATGTGCGCTCGTTTCTCTCCTGAAATATAAAAGAAGCTTTTCTGCTTTTTTAAAAACACCTACCAGAGCACACAGGTTTTTTGAATGATTAAGTCAATGGGTTGTTGATGTCACAGTCTCAAAGGGCTAAAAAGAAATTCGTCATCCCAGAGCCGAGTTGTCAGAAGTGGCAAAAGCCGCAGTTCCTGTAGCTGCCACTTGAGGCTGACTCCAAAATTGAGTCTCTTCTCATACAGTGTAAATTTAAAATACCCCAAATCAGCTGTGAAGATGTCGTGTTTATAGAAAACCCAGCTTGCGTGTCTATGGATAGTTTCCGCTTACATAACAACCGCGTGTGACATACAGGTGGATACGGACACCTGCCAGGTGTCATCTCAGTTAACTCAAGCAGAGGAACTGAACCTCCACACTGTGAGTTTGGTGTTTGTGTCATTTTGGAACATTTTTAACTGAATTATGTGACAGTTATGGGACATGCTGAGGTCTGAGCTCCAGTTTGAAGTCAGTGAAATAGTGACATTTTATTTGCATGTTACGCATTATTTAGCAGACATCTGTCATCCTCCTACATGAATACAAAAAAGGATTTCACATAAGCAACACGCCGGTGGCCAAAACACTAAATGCACATGTTAACACACCTGCTGACGCCCAGGGGTCAGCCGGCTGGCTGAAAAGCTTGTTTAGTTTGTCCTGCATTTCCTTCTTGCCTCTTCCCTCATCCTCCTTCTCTTCTGTCGATCCTGCTCCCTTCCTGACCTCTTGCTCCTCCTCCATCCCTCTCCTTTTCCTCTCCTCCTCTTCCTGCGTCACTCTGTTTAGCCATGCGTGTGATGCAGGAACGGAGGCGGGGCTTGGAGCTTGTGGAGCAGAGCCTCCTGCTTCCTCCTTCCAGGCGGCACCTTCCTCTGACGACAACCTGTGAAATAAGATCATTAAAACAAGTTTTAAAACTCTGATTTTGGGGCAAGTTCAGCGAAACTTTCCAGCAGTTTTTCAACTGGATTTGGGAAGCAATTCCACAAATACAATTTTAACCACTCAAATTAAAGTTAATTTGTATAATGCTTCAAAACAACCACAGAAAAAATGGCCCAGATGGCTGCTGAGTGACTGACTTTTGCATTTTCTGGTACTGCATCCTCTCCACTTGACTCTTACCTGCCCTCCTGCAGCTCAGCGGACTTCCTCTCGCTCGGGGTGTGTATGTGAGACTGTGTGTGTGTCTGTGTGTGTGTGTCTCCCTCCAGTTCCTTCTGTTTCTGTCTCTGCTGCCGGGTGTGGATCTCCCTCAGCTCCTGCAAAGCATCACGGGATACAGGAAGGAACAAGCGATGAGGAGGAAGTGGGGTCACAGGGCTGGTTGCTAAGGGCGTCCAACGACAACAAACAAGAACACCAACACCGGCAGTAGCAGCACGTTTGTATTAGTCAGGTGAGCGAGGCAAGCTCCGCCCCTTTACTTTGGTAGTCTTGTTAGTTTGTTCTAAAACGGACGAGGCAGGACGCTAAACTGAAGCCTTCTGTTTGGGAAGTCTCATTTCTTTTAACCAGTCACTGCACTCGAACTAGAACATCACATGTCACAGAGAACCTGAAGACACTGACGTCGGCGCTTACGGCTTTCTGAGCTGATGTGCAATGGAAGGCACAGATCATCCAACTATTCATGAAAGGCTTTTTGTGGAGCGATGGCGGCTGCTGCTTTTGATCATGACCATAAACAGATTTGATCCAAAGTTTAGGATGTCATGCATTACCTTTATATCTACACCTGGCAGCGTCTCTCCTCGAGACTCAGTGTAAGTCACTCAGAACAGCCAAGTGACAGAAAGGTTAACAAGGCAATGGTTACCATGACGTCACCTATCGACTAGTGACACATCGATCACCAATCGTTACACTTTGGATAATCCTCATTCCACTAAAAATGTATTAAGTGGAATTAATGTTTTATTCAGTAAGACTGCAGGTGAGTGCCTGAGTCTAGAAACTTCCAGAGGAAAGTGTTTACAGAGGAAAGTCAGGGCAGAGCAGACGTTTCCCTGACCTCTAGGAGAGAATTATTTCTGTTTACACAGCAACCACACCCTGCAAATTCAATCAGAATCTGAAAGGCTCAGCTGATGGGAAAGAAAAGGCTCCCTCTGTATGATCTGTATATATAGAGATACAGTGACACATCATAAAAGTGTCCTCAGTTTGTGTTCTTGAGGGTTCTTTCTCGTGGAGTTTCCCTTTATTCAGTTCAAGCTAGTTTTGAACTTCCTCTGTGAATTTATCAGGATGTTCTGATGCTGCAGACTTAACACAAATAAGTGAAGGTGTGAAATAGGCTCAATATATTTCATCGCAACTAAAAATGCACTCACTTTACACCACTGTGTAACAGTTATTACACAACAAGGAAGTGAGGCAAGGAACATTTGTCCTTATAGAATCCTGTTTTATTGTTACTGCTCAGGTGACATTATTTTATCTCCACTGCTTCTCTGATTTTCCTGGAACAAGCCTTTGAATGCACATACTGTTCATCACCTATGAGTGTGATGCTGATGTTGTGAAGGGAGCGCAGAGTGTGAAAGAGAAGCTGTCGATTTAATGATCACAGCTGAAAAGATAAGACTGCCGATACGAGTGGTAGAAATTACTTCTTAAGTTCAGGTGTTTCAGGCACGTCCCCACCTCTCTTCTTAAAGGACCACGAGGTATCCAAGAATAGCGTCTCTGCTCTGCCCCAGAATCAGATAGGCCGTAAAAAGGAGATGGTGGTGATGTGGGGGACCAGCCGCCTGCACTCAAGTCCCTGCAACTTGTGTTTCTGTCCGAGTATGATTAAAAAACAAACTTTTCTATATGTTATCAGTACGTGGGAAGGGATGTGACTTGGAAACAGACCCGGCCTGTAATAGAGGGCTCTGGTCATGGTGGTGGGGCGGAGCTTGCACGGCGCACAGTATGTTCGTGGGATGGGTTAGAGGTCCAAAAAAAAAAATGTATGGGAGGGAGGGGGATTGAAGGGAAGTGAAGGGATGCAACTGTGGAAGGGTGAGGGGCAGTTCTGTGTAGTCATGACAACCAGCTGTGCCATTAGAACACACTCTGTTACTATAACAACAACACAAGGCAGCTGTCGTGTTTCAGCCAAACAACCGATGTGAGGAAACCTCCAGAAACGAGCAATCGAGAGACACAACGAGCCGAACTACAAACGTGAAGACAGAAACCTCCACATCACCTCAAACAGGAAGTGGAGGATACACGAAACAACAGAGACCACACACACACACACATACATACACACATATAAAAACACAAACGTTTGTCCAGATCAGGTCTAGTTTATTGCCACATTAGGCTGGTTAACTTCTAGTACCTTCTACGTGTCTGGCTGAAACATAATTTGGTAGCACGCAGGCTTTAGGATTACAGTATAGCATCTGTAATCTAGTAAATCCCAGCATAGCAACAGCATAAAGTCATCTAAAGTAATATACCTGCTGTAGTGAAGGGACATTTCACCATAATTTATCATCATGGATACACACATTTCACCCGGTGTGTAGCGCTCTCTAGTCTATATTGTCTTGGTGGGAGTTGCATAGTTACAATCATCATCTACGCATTAATCTACAGGTGTTTACTTTCTGTTTTGTTTTTTATATTATTATAATCAAGAAGTTATATCAAAAAAACTAGTTAGTGAGAGCAAGGACATCCAGATTCAAAGACCCATGACAGGCATGACCCAGTGATGTGTGCCTGTGTGAGGATTGTCCGTCCTGTAGGTTAGCTAATTGAGGAAATCTACATAGTTTACTGCTGACTGCGTCCACCAAGCCGGCAGGTGTAGTAAGAAATTCTGTCAGGGCTGGGGGCACAACAGGCCTCAAGGGCCGGTGTCCTGCATCAAGATGTGTCCTTGATCCAACAAAGCTGATTTAAATGGCTAAATTACTTGAAGTTCTCCGGAGGCCTGGTAATGAACTAATCCTTTGATTCAGGTGTGGCTGACCCAGGGTGAGATCTAAACCTGCAGGTTTTTGCTTTTCAAAAGGTGAGTTTCATTTAGTTTCATTTTATTAAAGAGTCATCGATCATCTCCAAAAACGGCGCAACTCAGACCAACTTTGATTCTGGGCTGAACTGTTCCTTTAACTACAGCAGCACAGCTAGCCAGCTGGATCAGTAGTGAGCCAACACCAGCCTAACAGAACAAAAGATCAGAGGCAAAGATAGAGAGGATGACAAATTTAGGGTGAAGAGAAGAAGAGACAGAAAGGAAGAAGAAGAGTGATGAGGAAAAGAAGGAAGAAGAAGAGCAAAGAATGGCGACAGGAGGAGGGGCGTGATGGGAGGCTGGTTTGTTTCATGGACCTTTATAACGTGGTCTAGCCGAGTCAGACACACTCTGACAGCTGACACACACTCCTGCAGCTGCCCCTGCTCCTGGTGCTGAAACACATACGCATATATGTACACACACACACGCACACAGTTCAAAACACAGACACACACAATATTTGTCAGTAGTTTTCTTTGTTGGTTTTTTTCTGTACACACCAAGTCATTTTTGTTGGGGTTAGTCCCTGTAACCTCATGCTCTTGTCACATGACCAGTTAATTTCAATATTAGGTGGATCAGTCTGATTCTTCTGAGACACTAAAGGAAAAGCAGGCTTGCACAATGTGGCCTTGACTCATGAAGGGAGGCTCTCGTGAGTCACTGCAATGACTAATGTGCTGTTAGTTTCATCAGAGGTAAAACGCTGGCCGCCTCTAATTGTCACCTTGCTTTGGATCATAAGTAAGAGTTTTAGTAAGTAAGCTTGCTCAAACCGGTTTTACCCATTTTAATTTCTGCTTTGCCTTTAAAACAAACGTACGCTCGATAAATATGTTTTTTACTGCAGGCATGATCACTTAATCAGAAATAGATGAACAAAAAAATAAACATTATTCTCATGTATATCCAGATTACTCATCATGTGAAGAATCTTTAGAGATGTCAAAAAATCCTGCATTTAAAAAAAGTCTTAAAATGAATTAAAGCTACCAGCAGGATGTTAATGTCACCTTCGAGTCTTTAACTCGGCATTAACAGCAGCAGCAAACATTCGTGCTGACGTTTCCGTCTCCGACTCAGAATTGTTACAACCTCATTAAAGCCTTTGTCGTTTCCTGTGTCAGTCGTGTCCTGCTGCTTCATCAGTGCATCTACAGAGCCGGGATCAATAGCGAGTGGTGCACTCCTCCTTGTTAGAGGCTCTCCTGACTTTGACGTGTGAGATTAGCAATAAACAGCACACAGACTACATCGGTGCGTCACAGCTCGACAATTACAAGACCTCGACTGGCCGCGGTACATCTCTCTGGCTGGCAGGGACAGCACAGTGCAGTACAAGCGATGCACTGAAATGTTACCACAAATCAGACCAGAAGTCTGGTTTGTTGGTGTTAAGGACAGCAAAGCCTTCTAAAGTGACTAAAACACTTCAAGCCTGCAGGTTAGTATTCTCACAAGAGGGTGTACAGTGTTTTAGTTCAAATCATTCCTCTGATAATCTGCCAAATCAGGTCCAATCAAAATGCAGAACCCACTCCTTCTTCCAGATTTTGCCATTAATGGCTTAGTGTTAACTGCAGAATTTGATATTGTTTTATATTAGAGTATGTCCCAGCTGCAGTACCACCCCAGTCCAGCAGTGGCAGTGTGCTCTACCTGTCTCCCTCTCTGTTCCTCCTGAAGCTGGCGTCGCAGGGCATCTATCCTGGCACAGTGGTTGGCATAGAACTCACACAGAGACTGGCATGGGAAAGGGAGCAAAAGGCCAGTATAGGAAATAAAATAAAAGAGTAGAAAATATAGAAGGAAGGGTTTATTATGTGGAATAAACAAAGAGTAAAACAGGGAGAAAATGAATGCAAGAAATACAGGTGGAAGAAACGGGAACAAAATATAGACGAGGACAGCCAATAGAAGCAGAAAAGGCAGAAGGTGCATTGTGCCGGATGAGGCACAGCAGAGTGACAAGAGAAGATTTCAGGGAGAGGAAGTGGCGTAGAAAGGAAGGTGGAGGGAAGGATAGTCAAATATCGATTATGTCTCAGTGGCCTCTGCCTCTGTTTGCAAAGAATAACACCACTCGGAGACGGCTGCGTGTTCCTCTGCAGAGAAATGGTTACATACGCCGCTTATGCGTTTGCTCCTATGCTGCTAGGCTTTACCCAATCACTGCATCGTGGTTTTTACACTGAATCCAACTGAGAGTCAACTTTATTAGATTAGCTGCAAGAAAATCAGTTTACTGTGGTCTGTTTAGTCTCTGCTATCCTCCCTTTCTTCTCATTCTCCTCCTTGTTTAAGCAGACTGTTTCTCCCCTCTCTGACCTGTCTCGCTGTCCGGGGTAAATCCAGAGGAAATAAATAAGAAACGGGGACAAAAGGTGCTCTGGGACACGTAAACAGACTGCAGTGATCCAATTCCAGAGGAATAAAATCTTCATCTCTCTGTAGTAAACTGTGTGAAAGCTACGCGAAGCAGCTGGACTCAGTGTTCCTGCGTACACTCTCCAAAAACACGCCAATCAGTGTTAACACTGAAAACAACAGCAACATGAACACAAACAGAGCAGCAGTCAGGTATAAATAGAACATCAGTAAACATGGAAACTGTGACAAACCAAGCTGTGAGGATGTGGTCATGAGGGATGGACAGGACGTGATTCAGTCAGAAAAACAGCTACTGCGTTAGAAATTACTTTGTTTGCATTTATCTGGACAGAAAACATGCAGCTACTTCACATCTACGTTACAAGGAAATAAAATATGCTTCTCAGCACCAAAATTTGATTTTATTTACTCTTATAATCAACAGATTTAATAATGTTAGGTCTATTTAAATAGAATAGGCAGTTTTAACAGAGATATATATAAGGTGAATTGGAAAAAGCACGTTAATATCCTCACACTTGTGTGAAAACACCAATGGAGCGCAGCTTCCAAACAAAAATGAACAACAACAAGACAAATATCACAGTGTGCATCAAACGTCTCATTGTAACATAGTATTAGATTCACATCTGTTATTTTTATGCTTCTTTTTATGTTAAACTCTTTTAATTTATTAGGCAAACCACATAATACTGTGACCTGGCATTTCCTGGCTGGGTTTTTCCTGTGGGGTAATGACACGCGTGAGCACAACTGTTATACATTTTAGTATATTTTATGCTAGAATAAGTGAACCATGATATTAAATAATGGTTAAAATGTCTTTTACGTTGTCTCTTTTGGGGATGCCAACACGTACACAGGAAAAACCCTGCCCAGTATGTTTGTGGCTTTCCTGTCCTGCATAGTGTTGTTGATCATTTGTCTCTTTACCTTCAGCTGAGTGTTGAAAGCGTCTATTTCTAGCAGTTTGGCCCTCGTCTCTTTCTCCACAGCATCAAGCTGCTCTCTGAGCTGCTGTCTGCTCATCTCTTTCTGCTCGACAGCCTTCTGCAGGGACGAAAGACTATCACCTAAGTACACACACACAGACAGCATGAGACAGCAGCAAGTTAATAAATCAAAGTTTCCAAGCTACGCAGTAATTAGCAGAACAGACAGTTAACAAGGTAAAACGTACGCACTCCTAATCCCTTTTTAAAATTGTAATATCTGAAACAAAACATTTACTTTGAACGTTTTTATCAGAAACAAAATATGGCATCACAACCAAGGTTAAAACATTTACCTTAAACTAAAAAACATTTGAGTTAACTAAAATGAAGATAAAAGCGCCACCCCTCAGCCTCCGAGTAGACCCACCTATGGTATCAGTTTCAAAATCGCGCCGTTATCGCGTTCACAAACTACAAACTTCCATAAGCCTTTTGCGACTGAGGGATAAAAACGCAACTGAAACAAGAAAATCTCCTCTGGAAACTGAAACTAAACTGAATTAAAAAGTGGGGAAATAAAGAAATTAAAAATCGTAGCGACGAAATTTCAGCTGTTCCACAACAAGAACGAATGATAATGTTTGCATGTGAGCCGAGTGTCTGCGGTACTCACGGTGCAGACTGTTCTGCTGAACCTGTTTCAGCTGCTCGTTCAGACTCTGCTTATCAGGAATGAGCCTCCCCAACCACTGCTGGGAGTCCTGCACGCAGCCAGAAAGACCAGCAGAAAGGGTTAACACGTACACAGTAATGAGCCGGTCGTCAGTGGGGTCAGAACTGTATTCTTTTATTCATTAGCTGCTGGTTTTGTTTGCTTGGCACACCTGCAGCTGTTGTTGCAAAAGCGTGATTTCAGTGATGCGCGTCTCTCGGGTCTGGTTCGTCTGCTCCACCTCTTTCCTCTGATTCGACAGACGAAACCGAACATCCTTCAGTTTACCCTCCAACTGGCTCTTCTTGTCATTCTGGAGGAACAACAGACAGAATAGATCACATTTAATACTTAAAAACAGTGAAATCCAAACTCGAGTCATGTTGATGGAAGATAAAATCTTTAATTTAGCTTTTTCTGTTGTGGAAAAAGAAAAAAGGTCTGGATTAGCTGCTCTAATCTGTGTGGATTCATGTTTGACCCCACGTTTCAGCCACTTTTCACAGATTTATTTTCATCTTCTATTCATCACTTGCTGAGTTTGATTCTTCATCAGAAGAGACCCTTTAGCCTCATGAAAAACACGCCTCCACTTTACCAAATATCTCCTCAGGGCAGAAGAATGAGATGACACTTAACCTTAATCCTGTATCTTTATTAGCAGTGATTAGTTTGATTTAATGAAAACATCAGTTCATAAATGCTGAAGTTTCCATCTTTTTCTTCCAAATTAGAACACTGAAAGGAAAAAAGTAGAATCACAACTTTCTATCGTCACATTATCAGCTGTGTCTGACCTACTGACACTAACAGTCTGACAAAGAGGCAGGACAGTGATCAACCAGCAGCAGTCTGATGGTTTCGTGCAACGACGATTCTGAGAGTCAGTTACTTACTATAGATGGCAGACAGTTGGTGTCGTAAACCACCGCCTCTGTTCAAAGATGGTCGTTCACAGTGGACATAGATGCTTCTATGAACAGAGGCGGTGGCACCAACTGTCTGCCATCTATAATCCAGTTCTGAGATCCCTTCCCAGACGCCTTAACGCCCACTCACACCCTGGGCCATCTAACCTCAGGAAATCACATGACAGGGTGGGGCCAGGTTTCACAACGAGCTCACCAGAAACTCTGGCTGATTGTGACCCACGCCCAGTTTCCCACCTTGGCTCATGTGATTAGAGGATCATCAGGGGGTCCTTTTGTCCCTCTTTGGGGGGAAACTCCCACTGGGTTTAAATCTGGGACTCTCCACCATTTGACCTTAGAACTGAAGAAGCTTCTTGAATGAGAGGTGAAACGTCTTCAAGCAACTTCAAGTCCAGACGCTTTTCTTTCCAAGCTCCTTAGACTATGATGACCTGGATGACTGAGAACCTTCACAGACATACTGAGTATTTTTGATTACCAGAGCCTCCAGCTCAAACTCCAGCGTCTTCTTCCTGGCTTTGAGCAGAACTATGCTCTCCTGCTCTCGGTTTCTCTGAGTCAGAAGCTCCTGCCGCCGCTGACGCTCCCACTCCAGCTGACGCTGGCGCTCTAACTCTCTCTTAGCGGCCTGCCACACAGACACAGAAAGTTCTGTTTACGCTCAGGACGCAGTTTTATAAAGAAACTGCACAACAACACAAAAGACTGGAGGTTAAACATTATATACATATAGTACATCATACACTTGATTACACATGACTAGTTATCTGGTGCAGCGGTGTGAATCAGGCTCTTTGCTGTGAGTGATTTAAAGAGGGGGGGGGGGTTGGTGTGCGCTTGTCTGCAGCACTAATTACAAGTTTGCAGCAGTTACGCTTCAGCCCAGCTTTGGCTCTTTAATTAAGATGCAGATGTTCCCTCTGTCTCTCTATCATACCTCTCTCCTCTCTATCTCTTTGCGCCTCTCTTCTTCTCTCTGCCTCTCCAGCTCTCTCTGCTTCTCCAGCTGTTTTTCTAGTTCCTGTTGCCGTCTCCTCTCGTGCTCCAGACGCTCACGCTCCTGAAGCACAAACGTAGAGAAATGAGCTGGCAGAACAAACAAACCGGTATTTGTCACGCGTCACCCCGATGCGTTTCCGTATCCTCCAAGTTTCAAGAGTTGAATTAAATAATTTACTGACGCAGGAGATTGTAGCCAGAACTTTGAAAGCGCTGTTTATTTTACGGCCTCATAAAGAAGCCTTAAACCATGAGCAAATCAAATGTGCAGTGCACAGTGAGAAGAGCAAACCTTTCTCTCCTGCTCCTCCCTCTCCAGGGCAGCCAGCCTCTCCTGCTCTTTCCTCTGTTGCTCCTGCAGGGCCTGACGTCTCTTCTCCAACTCCAGATTCCCTCGCTCAAAGTTTTCCCTCTTCTTATCCTCAAATGTCACTGCAGGGAGACAAAGAGGACGTTTATGAAGTGGGCTATGATAGATGGTTTGTAAATTATTTAATTGAAACTGCTAGAACCATTTTAGATGAGAGGAAGAAGCTTGAAAACAGAGCCGACTACACAAGCACGGTTAGGTTCTGTCAGCATAATGAACACTGTGGCCACAAAAAGGTCAAAAAGAAAAACACAGGGATGTTTATGTAAATGCTTTTGAATTTAAACACAGATGCTGCATAATATTAGTTTATTACAAAATTACTGAAGGTTGCAGAAGCCAAAATAAGTCAATGATGTCTAAACGTCAGTAGCAGCTCAGGGTGAATCTAATTCCACTTTGACCAGTAATAAAACAGCGTGTACTCGCTGGTTAGGACGAATCACCTGGTAATTTCTTATCTTGGCTGGTCTCCGTCTCCTCCTCCATCTCCTCCTGGACGCTTTTCTGGTCCGACTGAACGCTGTCGCTGCGCACACGCCTTTCACACACAGGGACGAACAACGACCGATCAGATCTTTCAACCTTTATCATTTAAAATAAGCAATGCCGCACAAAACAATAATCGAGTATTGCATCTTTGCATTTAGCATGTAACAAGTGGTCAGCTGTAGGGGCACTGAAGGAAAAGAACTATTAAAGATCGAGGGGGAAATGCCAGAAACAAATATAAAATGTTTTAATTAAAGTCATAAATTTCAGAGTAATAAAAAACAAACCTGCAAGACTTTTTTTTTTCAGTGCAGGGATTGCAACACTTCACTTTGTAATGCTGAATCAGAATAAAACTCACATATTTGATCACCTGACATCATTAACTCCAAAGAAACCTTTTTGAAAATGAGAGCAAAGTTAATACTGACTGTCTATTTTTACTATTATGTGGTTATTATATGATTGTAAGGTCCCTGCACACAGACTCCAGCTGCACACAGAGACCAGTGTGGTTAGTTCAGGTCGAAGGAAAACTCATCGTCTGCCTT